AAAAAATATTTATCCTCACCAAAAAGATTATACAAGAAGCTTTATGTCGCATTACCCGGGTGTTTTCCGTTTAACCGGCACCAACATATGTATATTACCCGGGTACCCGGGCAAATCGGGTAATACCCGACTACCCGGGTAATAAAAGCCCCGGGTAATACCCGGGTAATCGGGTACCCGGGTACCCGGGCATTACCCGAATTACCCGGGCACCCGGGTAATACCCGGGTACCATCAGCCCTAGTATAAACATACATATGTACATATAGCAGCAGTTAATTTTATTTAAAGAAATGGCGTGTCGTCCATTTCCTCTGTAGCATGGCATATATTTAGGCGCAATATTTAACTTCTTCTGGCGGGGCGACATCTGGAGTCTAGAATTTGCTACAAATAGCTTTGCTACACTACCGCCGCGGCGCGCCGGCAGCTTTAACAATTTTATAGTGGTTTTACGTTCTTTGGCAAATTACGCTCTGTTAGCCATAAATCTTACTATTATTTGACCGTCTTTGAATCAAGACCCCTGGACCATATGGGGAATTCGTTTATATTTTAAATTGCATTGTCATCGTGATTGGAACTATGCTGAAAATTTCAAGTCTCTAACTTGTCGGGAAGTCAGTTTACAATCGATTGGAAATTTCCGCTATTTGCGCGGGATGACCAAGTTGAATAAAAGCTTATAAAAATACTGTGTGTTCTTTTTGAATCGAGTGGAACCAGTGTTGTTAAGTGGTAAGCTACCGGCAACATAAAAACCAAGGGCCTAAGTGAACGGCACCAAAAAAAAATAAAAGAAAATAAAAAATAAAAAATAAAAAAAATTTTACAGTCCTTTGCCAACAATAAAAACGTTTAAAGTGATATCGATCCATATATGTACATATATCGGAGTAATTAAATTTCACAGTGCCATATTACATACATACGTACATACGTACAAATACAAGTGCTTATGTGAAATTACAAAACAGTGAGGAAAAACTTATAAACTTAAAACTTTGTCCGGGCGCGTCGCGTAACAATTACAAACATTAAATACATAATTAAATAAATATACATACAAATAAATATACATTTCGGGCGCAAACTCAAACCAACAAATTAACAAAAGGCATCATCAACAAGCAACTCAACATCACCAGGAGGAAGCGCAGGACTACTGGGAGGCTCAACGAGGGACATATAAAAGAGGGAAAAAGGGAACAAGCATCCATCCGGATATCAAATGTACCCACATTATTAGACCCATAATAAAACCCATATACCCCCTACCGCCAAAGTGAGTTGTATCGAACAATTAAATTGAGATATCACATAAAAAAAATCGATATTTTGCTAGAATTTGGAAATATATATATACATATATATATATATATATATACATATTTACATACATAAATATACATATCGGTAAAAACTTTACGGTTCCAAAAAACGGTTTGAACAAAAAATAAAAAACTCGTATGTACATACATACATACATATATACGCATGAAAAATAACTTTAAATTTCTGCTTTAGCTTAATTTTCGTGTTTATTTAGTAACACACCAAAGCCCAAAACATAAAAAATTCAAGTATCTACTTGCAATAATTGCCCGGGAATACCCCTTCTGCTTGTACTCATATCAAGCAAAAGCAGGATTGCATACAAAATAAGCAGCAGAAAACAAAAGTCAGAATAATACCAACCAGATAAAAAATCAAACGCGAAAAATATTCTTACTTATTGGCTAAACAAAGAAGGGAAAGAAGTAGCAGTAAATACTGCATATTTATGTATGTAAACATATTATATTCCATCAGGTTCGTTCGCCGAGCAAAAAATTTGTTCGAATTTTCATGATTTTTGCCCAAATCGCGTTCGTGCAGACCAAAAAAATATCCAACACTCAAAAATTGTGAGAGCAAAGTGACAATTCTCTTANAAGAAGTAGCAGTAAATACTGCATATTTATGTATGTAAACATATTATATTCCATCAGGTTCGTTCGCCGAGCAAAAAATTTGTTCGAATTTTCATGATTTTTGCCCAAATCGCGTTCGTGCAGACCAAAAAAATATCCAACACTCAAAAATTGTGAGAGCAAAGTGACAATTCTCTTAGAGAGAAGTTGCAAATTCTTGCTGGAAAAAATTTTGCCGGCAAGAATTTGCAAACACGAAAAACCTATGATTGTGGCGCATGGTTGCATTCTTGACAACAAGAATATTAATTGGCAAATTTTGCTAACTTTAAAGAATATAGAAATATGAGCGATTTACCAATAAAAGAAGTAAGTAAATATGATTATAATAAAAAAAAAATGTTTAACCCAACAATTACCCAGGGTTCCCGCAAAAAAAATGTGCAGGAATGATCGGAGTGCTGGAGATGTAGGTCACACAGTTTCTTTTGGGGATTCAGAGCTTGGAAACATTGAAGGTATCCTCATGTTAGAATTCTTTAACATTTGATAGCAAATTTGTTTTTAGATTCAATTCTACTACATGAAAGAAATGAAGAAATGAGAAGTGCGAATATGCAACAAAAAGTAGTCACCACAGCCATCATGGCGATATTGGATTCATCGTCATTATATTGCTGTATTGCACAAAATTAGACGTAGAAGTAATTTCAATTTAAGTATGGATCTTGCTTTGTTTTCATTACGAAAAAATTCAAGAAATTCCATTAAAAGTTACGTGGAAAACACGGTACCGAAATACCCAGAATTGGAGTTCCGGAGTCACTTTCGGATTTCGAGAAGCTTATTCAACAGTCTCTGTGAAAAGTTTTTGAATTCCCAATTTTATAGTAACCTTCATCCTGACAGAAGATTATCCGAAGCCGCATATATTTTAGTTTTTCTGTGGTTTGCTGGAAATGAAGCGTGTAGTTTCCGAGACTTATAGATTTAATTTGTCTTTATCAACAATTTCAAAAGCGATAAAAATTGTGACCAGGTTTATCAGCAGCTTAAGTCCCGAAATTATAAAATGGCCAAATCAGCAGATGATGGATAAATCGAGCAAATTTTTTGACAACAAGTGCATGTTTTCAAAGGCAATTGGTAATGTGATGCTTAAAATAGGCACAAATATAAATTACGTTAAGAAAAAAAAATTTTTTAAGGTTGCATTGATGGAATGCATATTGAAATTTTGCCACCAAAACGAGGGAAAGATGAGTATATTGACAGAAAGGGGAATGTGTAAATTTGCTTGCAAGGAATCTGCAATGAAGAAAAAAAATTTATCAATACTTTCGTAGGATATCCGGGCTCCTGCCACGATAGCTGGGTTTTTCAGAACTCACCTATCTACAACAAGCTACCCTCGTATTGTGGCGGTGAGTATTTTTAAATTTACGTACCTATGTCAATATTCTTATTTATTTTCTCGTGTACTTCAGATTATTACATTCTTGGCGACTCAGCATATCCCTGCAGCAAGTACGTTATTACTCCATACAGAGACAATGGCCATCTTACACAAGCTCAGAAAACATTTAATTATAAATTGAGCACTGGTCGTGTTGCTATTGAACACACTTTTGGTATCCTAAAACAAAGATTCAGGCAGCTTTATTTTTGTAAATTGAAAGGCATGGAAAAGCTTTGTCATTTTATAAGGGCATGTTGTGTTTTACACAACATCGCCAATGAAGACGATCTTAATTTTGAAGAAGAGAGAACCACAGAACAAACCAACGTATTTGCAAATCAGGCCGACGGCCCTAGAGATTTCCTCTGCTATTTGCCAAAACATTCAACATAATCTAAATCAGAACCCTTAGTAAATAAAGTTGAAAAT